TTATGGCGATTCATAGAAACTCAGACAAATGTGCATGAATTCCTGTTTTCTTCAATGTATTATTATGTACATTCATATCATTCTGTTTAAAAGGACAGTTCTGGCTTCAACCCATAAAGTAAAAGAATTGTTTACATCGACTTGGATGATTGCATTGTAACTTCCCAAATTGTATTTCTATGTAAGAGCTCCGTAAAGCAAGGACCTTTGGACACACAGAAATAGCTACTTTTATTGTTTATGGTTCATTCTTCTAGGAATATCAGGTTATATGGTTGGAGTCATGGATTGGCAATATACTTTTTTTAAATGATCATTTTTACTTTTTAACCTTTTTTATTTCTATTGAGATTGAAATAAGTTCTTAATTTTAAAAAATACTGTTAGATAAATATAAAATTTCATATATGTATATATATATATATATATATGTATATATATATATATATATATATATACATACATACATACATTCATGTTTATATTTTTTATAATATGATAAAATTTTTACATATATATATATATATATATGTAAAAAAAAAAAAAAAAAAAAAAAAAAAAAACTTACAAAACATATTAAATTTTATGTCTTTGTTGTAATTTTATTTCTAAATTTTAAGATTAATCTTTATTAAGATGTTCTATTGTTTTAATCTATTTATTTATAAAAATAATAAATTACATAATATTTAACTCAAAAAATAACTATTTTATAATAACTATGACTAATGAACAAAATTAGTAGCAATCAATCATGTATCTTGTTAAATAATAAAATTTTATCTATTAAATCAAGCTAATATTTATATTCATGAAAAAAATTAAAAAATATGTTGTGAAAAAATATAAATAAAGATTAGGTGTATTATTAAAAAAAATTGTTAAAGTTATGAATTTAGAAAAAAAATTAAAAGAAAAAACATTTAACTATTATAAAAGAAGAAAAAAGTAAGAAAATAAAATAAAATAAAATAAAATATTATCAAGTATAAAGAAGCTAGAAAGTCTTAATTCAAGATTAAAATATTAAAAAATCCTTAATAAGAGCAAAGATGGTCTCACTGTTATTTTTATATATAAAAACTAGTAAGAAGACTACATGGTATTTTTCTAAAAAAATATGTAGTTGGTGAAATAAGTAGCCAACATATATAATGCCTTGTAGTGCTTATAGATCAATATTACATCTAAAAAATATCTAGGATACTACTTGAAGAAGATATTATTAAATTAATGTAATTTTATCTATTTCTATATACTTCTATTTATATAGTCAAAATATGCATCCATTACATTATCTCAATTTGTAAGAACATGGTCTATTGGAAAAAATTAAGTGACATGGTAGCATGCTCTGTATCTCTTACTAAAGTGACAATAGTAAAAAATCAAGGCCCAAGGTCTTTAGCATTCAAATTTAACTCTTAGACAAGCCACTTGTCAATTATGACTAGATAAGCATTAGAGTCTATCATAACTTGTAAAAACATAGTACAAGTAGTATTGCTACTAATACAAATAACAACAAGCATATTGTTTTCATTAACCAATTGCATCACTTAAAGACACAAGTTTCAATATTCTTGATGTGATCTATGTACAAAGTTAAACAAATAAGCTACTCATGTAGCTAATGGTACATCAAATAAAAGATTTAACTTTGACTCTTATAAAGCACCTTCATTACATGTTGCAATGGTTTGAGTATGCATTTTAGGACTTTATAAGCTAAAGAGTATATTTTATCTTTAATAATAGTTCTTCTATCTAATATTAAAGTTAGAACATAAGGCCTTACTACAAAACCAATATCTATAGGGCCAAATGATAATAGCAACCAAACTTGACTAAAGAAATTTATTTTATTTTTTTCACAACTCGAATTAAATTTTTTTACTACAAAAATTAAAAGGGAGAATATTTTTATTGAATAAAAGGTAAAGTATCTAAATACAATTTAATCAAACTATCTTTCATGCCAAAAAAAAAAAAAAAAAAAAAAAAAAGAATCCAAGAGTACAAGTATTTAGAAAAACTCCTAAACTTTATTCAAGGGCTAAATCACCATATCTAAGCAAACTCTTACAATAAGAAGTTTTTTCTTTTAAAGACACTTATAAGACTTGATTTGGCATTCTTGTCAAGTTAAGAGGGCTTCTCTACTTAAATTTTCAAATCCTAATTAACACTAATAAGTTTACCTAACATAAAAAATTAAGTGGATAAAAATCTACTAAACTAAAGTAGATTGCATCTATATGACATGATTTGGGATCTAATGTGACATAACGCTTAATAAAAGACATGTAAAATACATGGTGATTCTTTATTTAATATGGTAATTTTAATAAATAATAAATTAATTTAATCTATTTTTTAATAATAAATAAATTAAATCTTTAATAATCCAACTTATTATAATGTCAATTAGTCTTGATATTACAACAAAGTAACCTTATCTTATTGCCAACTTTACATGTATGTTTTTTTTTTAAGAATATCTACATTAATTTTTTTTTCTTGTTTATAAGACTCTTTTAATTGTATCTTTATTGTTGTTTGTATTAATGACTAGAAAATCCTTGATTAATTACCACCATAAAGAATTTAGCCATAGCAAGTTGCTAATGGTCAAAAGGCAGTAAAGACTCAAGGCAAGTTACTAAGGTAGTTGTTAGGATTTGTAGGTAGTAATTAGGTTAAGAAGAATCTAAGATTTAGTAAGAATACAGAAGGGCATAAAGTATATATCAAAAAATATTTCAATGGTAGGTGAAAGCCAAAAGTTACCTTGGTAGTAAGTTAGGTGCCATGTACTACCACCTATAAATAAAGAGTCTTGAAAGTGAGAGTTATCTTACTTCATACTTCTCTTTGAAAGCTACCTTGCTGATATTAAGTGATGAGACTTCTTACTTTGTATTTCTTCAATAGATTATGGATCCACAGACATTCATATGTGTTTATTGAAGTTGATTGAAGCCTTCGTTAGTGAAGGGAGTAGATCATCTTGTTTTTACTAATATTAGGGTTTAAGATCTCCTAACTTTCAAAACTAGATTTTGAGTTGCTCTTATTAGTTGTTTAGTGTATATTTAAGTGTAGGATATATTTTACACCTAAAATAGACGTTTTAAAATACTTAGGTCGTATTCTCTTACTAAATTAGAAGTTTGATTCACTAACTTTGTAGTTTGAAGGTGAAAAGAATCCTAAAGTGTTAAAAAGGCCTTTTATGGTATAAGATTAAAAGCTGTGTAGCTGATTATATATCCATAATGATTTAGATATCAATAAAAATTATCTTCTTGTAAGGATATTATCAGTTATATTATGAGATATAAATAAAATTTACATTACATAAATAAAAATTAAGATAATGTTGACCCCCTTAAAGCAAAGTAATCAATACGTTATAATTTATATTATTCTTTCATATTTGCAATTAGTCATGTCAATACATTCCATATCAATGATAAAGTCAAGATAATTCTTTCAAAAATCCAAATATATATATATATATATATATATAATCAATCATCTATTATTCTTAAATAAATAGGATGGAATATAATATAATAAATATTTCATAAACTAAATGGCTTTTGGATCTGATTGTTAATCATGTATTGGTAATTAAATATGAAAATTGAAGTGGTCAAAGAATATTAGATCAAAAAAGCATATTTAAATGATTTTTTAAACTATACACCTTAAAAGGTAAAATGTTTTCTAATTTCACTATAGCACATGTCTTCCACGATATAAAGAATATAAGATTTCTTTTGATGTAAAAAAATAAAATTATTAAAAGAAATTATAATTCAACAATATATGTTTATATTTATATTTACATTTGGAAATTGGTTATACACTTGCTTAGCAAATATTATTTTCATATCTTGAATTTTGTAAATCATATCATTTTCAATAAAAATATTTCATTAAATTTAGTTTTACATCGTTTTGCATTCATAATTTTTTATAATTGGATAGAGAATATGTATGGATAGCATAAATTGATCACACAATGCTCTATCTTCAATTTGCATTGTGATGCAAATGAAATTACAATGTATCATATACAAAACACTGAATTGAGTTACTATGATAACAACCAATAAAAAGATATTTACTGAAGAAATCAATTTTATTGTGGTTGTAATATCTGAAATCCAATAATACTGCCTCTAATTGCATCCATGGCCATGTAAAGCCTAATGTTGTTCAAATCATTTTACAGAAATTGTTTCTGTTTTCTAATTAGTTTTCAAAAACTACGTATGTTGCACTACATGATATGATCCAAAATGTTCATTTTTATATTGTCATAATGTGAGTTGCTACTTTACAAAACAATCAAAATTGAAAGAGGAAATTCCAGTTTGATGGATATTCCACATGTTGACCTCACAAAATGTTAAGATATGCTACAAACCCCATAATTTCACAATTGAGATACTGCTTACACAATAAACACAAAAACGTATAAAGGAGTTCTTATATGTAAATGTTTATGCATTTACTTCTCACGTTCTTCAGCAGAGACATGTTCCAGTATCAAATAGATACGTGCATCAATCAATAGAGGTTTTACACATACAATTCCTTTAACTGATGGTACAGGTGTCCAACTTTGGAAGTTTAAGCAATAAATACAAGTGAAAACAACTTGATCCTCTAAAAGAAATACTATTTACAAATTATAAACCAGCTTTTTTGACAACCAGCAATCATGTAATCCACAAACGATATTTCAAGTTCAGATAAGGCAGCGCAGCATTGAAAACTTACTAAGCTCAATAAGACCAGACCATGAGGAATATATGATGGGTAACACGCTCCACACATGGTTCCTCGTTGCTACCTACTGAAGTCAGAACTGCAGAACTTCCAATTAAAACACTAGGTAATTAAAACTTGACCAGCATGGAGCCACAAATAATCAAACATAAAAAGTCCATGGCTAACCTCAAAAACTCTGAATGGTAACACACAAATAAAGACGGAACAACTCACACCATGCGACGTTTTTGAAATTGTCTAAAAAAATTCGCAGATCATGCTCGAAAATGCAAACCCCAGTAAAATTCTCCAGGGTTGCCAATATTGTCCGCTTCATTTTAGTATAACTCCAATGCGCAATTAAAGCCCACTGCAATGGTGTGAAACACCCTAATTGTACATGCTTTTACAATAACCCATCTATCCCTACAAAATCGTCACATGTAAAATATTATGTACGTGAAAAATCACTCCCGTCTCAATCTGCACAACAGTAGACAAACCACTTCTACGTCTTGCACATACGCTACGACCTGAAGAGAAAGAATCAAACATCTGCAACACAACCAACACATAAGCTCAGCAACTGGTGTCCATACTACAACTGCACCAATGGATGACATCAATGAAAACAAACAAAAACATGTAATCAGCCAAACCAACCATTGTCGACACCTGTGACAAAGAAAAGAATCGAAATATCACCCTCAAAACCTAAGTTGCCCAAAACTCAAATCAAAGCGCATCACAATACTTACATCAGATTTCGGCTCCAAATCGGGCAGACTCCCCCAGAACACAAGGTGCCGATCGAAGCTCGAGGCATATGGGACACATGCCAAGTTCCAATCCCAGTAAAGAAACCTCCGAATCTACATGGTGCTCCCATGTACTGCTATACGACCAAGCACCAACTGCAAAAAGACAAGGTCGCGAAATTCTTAAGCACTAGCTCATCACAAAACGATCTGAATCACCAACACTCCGCTTCTCTCCTCTGCATCGTGACAATTGCAGGCATAACTATATCCTCCCCCAACTCTCCACCAATTCACTGCTGCACCGCACTCGTCGGAGGCTGAGCACCCAGCACCGCTACTACTGGACCACTAGCTACCACGCCACCGCCCCCCATCGACGTTCCTGACGTTGCGTGACCTTGGTTCTGGCCTCCACCACCACCACCACCGCCTCCGTTCACTCCATGCCTTCCATCTCCTCCACTCTGTACATTTGGATTGCTGATGTTGCTCTGCCCGTTCGACATACTCCCACCACCCTGTGCCCCGCCGCTCGGGCTCGTCATCATCACACTCGTCCGTGACTGCACAATATCCCCGAAACTGTTCAACCCCCCACCCCCCGCTTTACTCCCACCTCCCCCAACCCCCTCCGCTCGCTGCGACGAACCCTGCATCCCCCCACCGCTTCCCATCGTCGACCCACCCCTTGCTTGCGCTCCACCTTTCGCCATCCGCATCCCGTTCGCCTGCTCCTGACCACCATCTGCATGTGCCCCCACCCTCAACCGCCTCCGTTAGCCCCACAAAAACCACCGCCTTCCCTACACAACTGCACCCCACCACCCCCTACCCTTTCACTCCGCCTCTGCACCACCTCCTACCCATACTCACCCGCCTACCCATACTCACCCGCCTACCCATACTCACCCGCCTACCCATACTCACCCGCCTACCCATACTCACCTCCCTTTCCATTACCTGCTCTTCCCGCTGCCCCCGAGTTCGAGTTCCCCTGTGAATACCCCGACGCTGCGCTGTTCCGAGGGCTCCCCGACTGCTGCTGACCTGACGACGCCCCACCGCCGCTTCCATATTGTTGCAGAAATCCCGGCCCGCCGCTCGCCCGCTGTCCTCCTGGAATACCGCCACCCCCTCCTTGCTTCGTAGACTGAACCGCCCTCCCATTCGGGGCCCCTCCCCCACCATCGGAGTTCGTGCTGCTCCGCCCACCCCCCACGCCACTGCCCGTGTTCCCCGCGCCCAGTGAAAGCCCGGAGCTTATTGCCAAGCTACCGTTCCCGCCGGGAATACCGAACTGCTGCTGTTGATGAGACGATGCTTGTTGGTGCTGCTGCAGATGAGATGCATGCTGTGGTGGCTGCATGTGCTGCTGCTGCTGCATTTGTTGTTGGGAATGAACCTGCTGCGCTTGAGAACCTGAACCAGGCTGCTGCTGATGCCCAGACTGCTGGTGGTATGATGGAGCATGTTGAGACACTTGGGAATGTGGAGGGCCAGCTTGGGAATCCTGTAGATGACCAGACTGTTGGTGATGCTGATGCAAGTGTTGATGTGATTGATGTTGCTGCGGACAAAACGAATGTATTTTCAAATTACGCATCATGCACGTATAAGCAGAGTAAGTTGAAAGTATGACCGTGTAAGAACATGACAGAGTCCCGTTTTGAAACCAAAAATAAAGAAACACATGACCTGAACACCCATAGCACTTAACATAACAGCGAAGGATGGTATTGCCAGGAACTCATAATTTGGACAAGCAATCCTCAAATCGTGCAGACCGCAATGAAGCGACCCATACCCGGACATGTCACTGATACTCATTTATGAAATGAAGCAATGAAACACGACGTTGCAGCAAGTAGAGACAATGAACGTACTTGTTGATGAAGAAATTGCTGTTGATACACGTGCTGGCGGATCATCATCTGTTGTTGTTGTTGTTGTTGTTGTACATACGACGACTGCTTGTGTTGCTGCTGAAGTAACTGCTGCTGCAATTGGGGAGAAGCTCCCTGTCCCTGTGTCGGTCCTTGAGACTGACCACCCACATGCTGCTGCAGTCCCTGACTTTGTCCTGGCGCTTGGCCTGGCCCTTGCCCTTGAATCTGCATGTGGGATTGCTGCGAGCTTTTACCGGACATGCTCTGGGAAAGAAGACTAGAACCCAAAATCGAGGGCACAGGAACTCCTGAGGAGGGAGAAGATGATCGCTTCCCCCCGCCACCACTTGCACCGGCATTTCCTTTCTGTGTCAGCGGGTAAGATTTCTGAGAAGAATTACTTTTTCCTGGATTTAGACCAGAACTCTTAGTTGGCAGAGCCATCGGAGACAATGGAACTGGAACAGTACCCGAGGACACGGAAGAAGCCGCCGCCGCTGGTGTGCCCATTCTAGGACTAGACCCAGCACTTGCATTACCACCCCCTTGCGTTGCCCGATGGGTCTGCTGACCTTGCGGATTCTTCGCCATCGCAGCCGCTAACGCTTCCTGCAGGTGAGTCCCTTGACCTGCAGGAACTGCATTCGAAGCAGACAGAGGTCCTGGTGCAGGCCTTTGATTAAGCTTCATCTGCATTTGCTGCACAGGAGGACCTGACTTCCCACCCTGACCAGATGGAATGCTCTGACCCGCCTTACCGGCAACTGATCCACTCACTGCGGCGTTACGCTCTGTAAAAGAAGGCTGCGTTGACATACGCGGCGCAACTGAGGCTGCTGGAGCAGACACTCCACTCCCCTTAGATCTACCACCTCCTGGCTTCAACCCCGTTATCAAATGCGACTGCATAGGAGAAGCTCCACTGATACCAGCGGATTGCCCAGTAGGTTTCGGTGCCATGCTAGCAGTAGTTGGAGCCATGAGGTTCAAAGAAGTGCCAACCATCCGAGAGGAAGCCATACCGCCTCCCCCAATTGAATGAGACTGCATCCCACCAGCGCTGTCCACATCTCTGGACAAAGTCGATGCTGATCCAGACGATCTCTTGCCATGTAACTTCCTCTCGTCCCCGCCCTCACGCTCGGGCAAACGGCTAACGCCACCAGGATAGGCCCCATCTGAGGCACCACGACTATCCTCCACGCCGCCAGCAGCACTTCTCGTATTTTGAACAGAACGCTGCTGCTGAGCCATAACAATTTAAATTAGCCACAACACACCAACTAAAAGCGACATACAACAAAATAAAGTGACAAATAATCAGAACTAAAAATATGACGGTGTATTGTATCAAAACAACAAACAACAACCAAACCACACTACTATTAACGCACCGAATATACTCATCACTTAGGGTGGGTGGGTCAATATCGTGATCCCTTAAGATTACCTGCTGCATTTGCGAATGTTGGGCATGCGCAAGCTGCTGCTGCTGCGCCTGATGCATCTGCATGAAATGCTGCTGCTGTTGCTGCTGTAGCATACTTGCATGACCTGAGCCTCCACCCATCTGCTGATGTCCACTCCCACCGCCCTGCCCTCTCCCACCCTCCGCCACCCCCTGTATCATCGCATGCCCTTGCGGTGCCATCACTGCCGCTACCGGAGCCAATCCCAGAGGCCCCGGCCCCACTGATGCCCCTCTGTTCATCGCTCCCCCCATGCTCATCCCATAACCCCCACTCGACCCCCCCTCCGCTCCTTTTCCAACCCCTCCCCCCTGCTGCTGCACCACGCTCCCCCCGCCCCCACCTGACCCTCCACCTTGACCATTTACCCCCTGCTGCTGCTGCTGACTTCCCGCCTGCGCCTGCGCCTGCGCCTGCGCCTGTGTCTCCCGTGACTTCGACACCTTCCCCAACCCCACCATCAGATTGTACTCCCCGCCTCCGTGACCTCCACCCCCGCCGTTCACACTCGGACTCGCCGACCCCGCCGACGCACTCGGAACTGCCTGCCCGTACATTCCCGACCCACGCACCATCGACGACCCGTTCTCCCCCAAACTCTCCCTCTCACTTCCCCGACCACCCCCGTGCCCGCCGCCCTGCTGCTGCTGCTGTTGCTGCACCGATTGCGAAGGTGACTGGCTCCGCGGACCGTGCGCTCCAGACCCCGCCACTGGAACCCACGACCCCCTTGTCCCGCCTGCTGACCCTTCCCCACACCCCCACCCGCACCCCCACCACCTCCACCGTTCCCCGCACTCCCGCTCACATGCGGGATCCTATAGAGTAACCTGCAGCAGCAAGCTGCCTGCCTCTAGCCGCCCCGTGGTTGATCCCCTCTTTTT